AGTCCCCATCCCAACTCCGCCCCCTCCTCTGAACACTCCATGCCCTGCTCCTCCCCCTCCCCTGCTTTCCGTGAATCAAATGTTCGCAGGAAGCCTGAGGCAGGCAGGCAGCAGGTAAGCTGGGGCTGGGGCTGGGGCTGGGGCTGGGGCGGTGGGGGGGGGCACGAGGAGGCGCGGCCCAGTCCGGCCCCCCCGGCCGAGCGGCTCCCTCCGGCGGCCAGCCCCGGCCAAGAGGCTCTGGCCCCGGCGTCTCCGGCCTGGCTCGGGCCCTGGGGCGCCGGCCCCGGTTCCGGCCGAGCGCGCCGGCCCCAGCCGAGCGGCTCCAGCCCTAGCGACTCCAGCTCGGCTCGGGTCCCGGGGCCCCGGCTGAGCGGCGCCAGCCGGCGGCCGAGCACCCCCAGTCCCGGTCCCAGCAGCTCCAGCCCGGCTCGGCTTGGGCCCCAGTTCCAGATGAGCAGCTCCGCCCCGGCCTCGGCCCCGGCCCTGGGCGAGCGGCACCGCCCGGCAGCCGAGCACCCCCAGCCCCGGTCCTAGCAGCTCAGGCCCTGGTTCTGGTCGAGCGGCTCCGGCCCGGCCCTGGCCCTGGCTGAGCGGCGCCGGCCGACGGCCGAGCATGGCTGGCCCCAGCGGCTCCAGCCCAGACCCAAGCCCCACGACCCCTCCCTATTTTCCCGGACATGTCCGGCTTTTTGGAATTTCCTCCTGGACGGGGATTTGAGGACCAAAAAGCCGGACATGTCCGAGAAAATCTGGACGTATGGTAACCCTAGCTCCGTTCCATGGCACACTGCTTGTGAATGATGGGGGCTGCTGCAGACATCCAGCCCCTCCCTGTGCTGGAATCAAGCCTTACCACTAGGTTTGCCAACTTGGCAATATTTAAAAACTGGACATTCCAGCAGGAGTAGAACCTCCCCTGCTCTGCCTCTTCCCCCTGAGGCTCCACCCTATTCTGCCTCTTCCCCCCAAAGCCCCACTCCTGCCCATCTCTTCCTCTGAGGCCCTGCCCCATCCACTCCTCTCCCCCCAACCCCATTACTTGCTTCCCTCCCCTCCACTCCACCCTATGTGGGTTAGGGCTGGGAGCTGCAGTCACGTGACAAAGGTAGGAGGTGGCCCTGGCTGAGTAAAGGCTGGAGCGGGTGGTGACCTGGCGCCTCCCTGCTTCCCCCGCTCACAGTAACTGGACTTTGGGTGTCCGGTCAGTAGATCTGACTGGACACTGTCAGGTCCCCTTTTCAACCAGATTTTCTGGTCGAAAACTGGGCACCTGGCCACGCTACTTGCCACAAGGGAGCTCCAGCGTGCCAGTGCGCGCCTGGAGCTGCTCCTTGCACCCCACTGGGTGCAGCGGGATCAGCGACGGTCAACGCTTGTGCCCAGCAGGGCAGTGTGGTGTGTGCATGCAGAGGGGCTGCCTGCGGGAGCAGTTACTGACCAGGTCTCCATACTGCAGTGGGGAGCAGTGGGGTCTGTGTGAGCAGGGAGAGGGAGCGAGGAGCCATGCTCCAGCAGGAGGAGAGGGAATAGTTATGGACGAGCAACTCCATTAGAGTTCGTAAGGCAACTGCCAAAGTGCTCGGGGCCTCTTCCCTTGCCCCCTCCCCACTGCACAGAGCTATCCCTCTGCTTGGGCCTCAAACCCAGTCCCTGACCCCTGCCATTCTCTCCCTCGCCCCTTATCCCAGGGGTTTGTTCCTGCACTCTTGTGCCCACTGCAGGCAGGTGCCTATGGTGTTCTGGCATAAGAACAGCCATACTGGGTCAGACCAATAGCCCAGTATCCTGTCTCTGACAGTGGCCAGTGCCAGATGCTTCAGGGGGTATGTACAGAACAGGGCAGTTGGAGGGTGATCCACCTCATCTTCTCCCCCAGCTTCTGGCAGTCAGAGGTTTAGGGTCACCCAGCGCATGGGGTTGTGCCCCTGATCAGCTTGGCTAATAGCCATTGATAGGCCTATCTTCCATGAACTTATCTAATTCTTTGTGAACCCAGCTGTACTTTTGACCTTCACAGCATCCCCTGGCAATGAGTTCCACAGGTTGACTGTGTGTTGTGTGAAAAAGTATTTCCCTATTTATTAAACCTGCTGCCTATTAATTTCATTGGGCGACCCCTGGTTTTTATATTGTGGGAAAGGGTAACTAACACTTTTCTAATAATTTTCTCTGTACCATTCATGATTTTATAGACCTCTGTCATATACCCCCTAGTCTTCTCTTTCTTCAGATGAACAGCCAAAATCTCTCCTCATAGTGAAGCCGTTCCACACCCTTGATAATTTTGGTGGCCTTTCTCTAAACCTTTCCCAGTTCCACTATAACCTTTTTGAGATAGGGTGATCAGAACTGCACGCAGTGCTCAAGGTGTGGGTGCAGTATGGATTTATATAGTGGCTTTATCTTATTTTCTGTCTTATTTTCTATCGCTGTCCTAATGGTTCCTAACATTCTGTTATCCTTTTTGACCACGGCTGTGCTGATGTTTTCAGAGAACTATCCACAATGACTCTGAGATCTGTTTCTTGGGTGGTGACAGTTAATTTAGACCCTATCATTGTATATGTATAGTCGGAATCATTTTTTTCAATGTGCATTACTTTGCATATCAACATTGAATTTCATCTGCCATTTTGTTGCCCATTGACCCAGTTTTGTGAGATCTCTTTGGAACTCTTTGCAGTCAGCTTTAGA